AAATTACTTATTCTTCTGGTTCTATTGAAGCTTTATAGCTTTTGATTCATTTTCCAATCTCCCTTGACCCCTGGCCTCTACAATCACCATTCTTCTCCCTAATTCTTTGAATTCAATGGTTTTAGATTCTACCTATAACTGAAAACATGTGGAATTTGTCCTTGTGCCTATCTTATTTCACTTAGCATAATGTTCTCCCATTCCACCCATGTTGTAGCAAATGACAAAATAAAGTCTGAATAGTTTTCAAATCCATTCACAAATCAAATAAATCAGAAATGGAAATGGAAGATTGTGAGTATTCTTTAAAAAGAAAATAGAATTGAATGGTATTCTTTATGCATTCATCACTGATGGACACCTAGGTTGATTCCATACTATGGTTATTCTGTGAATAGCATGGTATTGAAGTAGTGATATCTCTTCCACAAACTGGCTTCAAACCTTTTGGGTAAACAACCACCAGAAGTGAGATTGCTGGATCATATGATAATTCTATTTTTGTTTTATGGGAAACTTCATTCTATTAAGTGAATCTACTAAGTCACATTTAAGATGATTATTTTTTGATTGAACTATTTTGTTTAAGAAAAACTAACCCAGATAGTGTTATTTCTTTATTTTTTCTTTTTCAATAAAAGTACTTTAGACAGCTTTGATATGATATGATGAGGAAGACATAAAATTCTTACAGTCTCCATCATCACATAACCCCAAACCCTAGTCTAGTCATGAGAAAAACAAAATACAAATTATAATAGAGATATCTTTACAAAATGCTTAGCTACTAATCCTTAAAAACTCAAGGTCATCAAAAACAAAAAAGTTTTAAAAAAATGTTACAGGTGAGTATAGATTAAGGAGAGATGACTAAACCTTGAATGGGACAGAAATAGAAAAAGGTATTTAGGAAAAATGAAGGAAATATGAATAAAGCATGGAATTCAATTAATTATAACATATCAATATTGATTCACTAATTATGAAAAATATGCCATACTTATGTAAGATAATAATAATAGGAGAAACTGGTTTTGGAAATTATGGAAACTAGGCAATCTTCACCTTCCTGTAAATATGAAACTATTCCAAACTTAAATATTTATATAAAAATTATTTTAAGCTATGAAAATATCCTTCATCATAAGTGATAAGAAGTTATGTCCTAAGATGATATGATATATACCTGTTACTGATGAAAACTGAAATGCCACTAAGTGTACAGAATTTTTCTCAAGAGAATAGTTTGGCAGAAGATTGTCATAACTTGAATAATCAGAAGAACAAAACAAACTAAAAACAAAATACAATGTTGACTATACATCTTAAGAAATTATTTTTATTTTTAAGTTGAATTTCAATCAGAATTTATGGCGATCAGGAAGGTATGTGCATGATTCAATTTTTTTCAGTTTTGCATTTCTAGCTGTCATAAATCTCATATTTAAATAACCCCAAACTAGAAACCTTACATTTTATGTCTCATTTTTCTCTTTCATTGGTGCCACCTTGTGAGTCTAAACAAGAATTTTTGTCAAATTTTACTACTAGATAGGGAAAAGTAGGAGAACTTGGATTATGTTTTCCTAAGACTTTAATGCTACCATACTAATCTTAACAATTAAATTGAGGTTGGTTTGTCTTCCTAGTATTTATGTAGGGGGTTGAGTTCTGAACCATAAGTGAGATCTACTTCAGATATTTGTAACAAATAAAATCCTATTCTTGCTTCTGCAATGAATACTTTTTGAAAGATTATTTTTAGATATTTTCACTCTTCCTGAAACAGAATATATTCCACCCCAACCTTTTTTCTGACTTAGAAACTAGTGATAAAGTTCACTCTTCTAATTTGATTAAAAACTCCTGTAAATACATATATATATATATATATATATATATATCACACATATACACAAACAGAGAGAGAGAGAGAGAAAGAGAGAGAGAGCAAGCATAATTGTATTAGTGCATCTGTCTGAGAGGAAGACTACTGTAAGGCAAGAGAGGGGAAGAGAATGTTAGAGAATGAAAAATATTGACAACTCTTGAAACACTGCATGGGTGCATGAAGATAATATAGTGGAATGCACTGTAAACTGTTGAATAATAAGGGAGCAGGACAATGGAGAAAGTGTAAATGATAGAGAGGGCTAGTATGATTAAAGCATGATATATACAAATCTGAAATACTGAAGCAAAAATTCCTTGAACCACCAATATACACTTAAAAAAATGAAGGACAGGAAGGTAAAACAGGTCCATTATGGGGTTGGGTGCCAGTGGGAGGAGGAAGGGCATAAGGAAACAGGGTAAATATGATGGATAAATTTTGTATTATTGTATGACAATAGGAAAATGAATCCCACTGAAATTGTTCTAAGAAGGGGGTAAGGAGGGTTGAAAAAGAACAATGCAGGGGGTGATCTGTAATAATGTTTCATATGATGATTTAATAAAGCAGTCAATAATGATTTTTCACTCCCAAAGGTTAACCTTGTGGTTTTGTGTTTTATGCCTCTCACATTAAAAATTTGAATGATAGCACTAAAATTTTGAAATGAACTTGGTACTACATAAGAGGAAACACATAATGTACATCAAGTTAGGCTTTCAAGAATATTCATTAAGTGAAGAGAATATTGATTGGCATCCTATGTTCAGTGATACAATGCTTTTTTAAAATTAATTGCTTTTGTGCTGATGTTGTTTAAATAGTAATCATTTTACGTTTTATCAGCATAACCATTTTACATTTTTATGAGAAACTAGTATAGAATAATAAATTTCTCTTAATTCAAGAAGCTTTTCAGATAGTTGTAAAAAATTTATTCCACTCATTAACATTATCTAGTATTCTAAGCAAACAGGTTATGATATAACTTCAAAAGCACAGACATTTCTAAAGCTAAGGAAGACAGGCAAAAAGATTAATTCACTGAACAAAAGGTAGACTATAAGATACAATCAATTGAAGCAACAGCAGAATGCAAATTAGAAAGAAAGGAAAATGTGTACTAGAAGAAGGTAGAAGATAAAACTTTTTTTGTCCCCTCTGACTCCATGAAGCCACAGGGATAAACAAGCTTGAGACTAGGGAGGAGTCCCAGGGGTATCTACAAAGATGGAGATGGAAGCTAGTCCCTTTCATGAAGGTAGTGTTGGGACACTGAGAGCATGACTTGGAGGCCTCACTCACTGCACTGCCATCTCTGTAGTGTACTGGACACCACAGCTTCTACTTCCACTTCAGTCCTGCTCATGCCCAGGTGGCAGAGGGGGTGTTAAGGGAGTGGGTGGGGCATCTTGGTGGGCCAACTCCTGCTGCATGGCCCCTGGAGGAGCCCACGCAGCTGCTGCCAACCTTCTGGTCTGTGGAGTGGAACTGGTGACACAATTGTTACTGTTATAGAAGAAAATATGGCTCATGTTTTGCATTAAAAACATGTATTTGAGATGCCTTTAAGATGCTTAAATGGCAGTCAGATAATTAGCTTTACATAGATAGGCATTTTCTTTTGGATTATTTTTATTATGAAGTAATTTTATAATTCTGAATCAAACAACACAATTGACTGCAATTATCCTAGCAAAAGGGCATTCTCTGAAGTAAAAATGTACTCATAACTCCTCTTATATCTTCTCATTTCACTTCTGTAGAATCATGGACTCTTGGAGCAGGAATGAGCTTCAGAGATGATCTTGATTTTGTCAATGAGTAAACTGTGATCCAGAGAATCACAAGTGACATTATAGTAATACTACCCAAATTACAAGAAAAGCCAATCATTAATTGAATTTACTATACTCTTGGCAAAATAGAAACGAAATGAGGTCAGAATTTGCCTTGTTACTACAAAAATTGCTTAGGTGACACTGAGAATGGGCTCATTGACAGAAGGCACACACTTTTTAAATTAATCCAACATCCTTGTGTATCTTAATTTCCTCTAGATCTGCAGTTTGATATTACTGACCCAAAGAATTTAGGTGAAAGGACCCAGCTTAAAGTCTTTTTGTCACATTGGAATACTAGTTTTGCTCACATTCATATAAGTTAACTCTTTGACTACTACAATAAGTGTTATCTGAAAATGGAGACAGATGTTTCTTACAAGAAATTATTCCAGAGACAACTAAAGATACTCACAACACACAAACCACTTTATCAGATTGATAATTACCACTGACACTGAGCAGTATCATAGAATTTGTTGCAAGCTAGTTAAGACTTTTAGTTATTTTTGAACTTTTTTGTGAAATTGAAGTAACTTATATCATCATTCCTTTTCAGAAACAGCTTACTTAATATGAATTGTATATCATAACACATGTTCTTATGTGTTCTTAATTATATATTAAACATATGTTCTTATGAAGCATAGGAAAAAGAAAACCATGTCAGTTGAGAATAGAAGCTTAAATGTTTCATTACAGGAAAAATACTCTGCATAAAAGAAGCAACAGTTCTTTCAACCATGTCAACTCTTAATTTTCACCACTTTTGTGCATCTAAATATATATACTTTGCATTGCATTAATTTTAGCATACAACTGTAAATTTGATGTAATAATATCATACCAATAGGGCCAAAATTAATATAATTATTTTCTTAAGTCAATAGAAAACAAGTTACATGACATAATTGTCACCAAATTTGTAGTAAAATGTATAGAGAGGTATATGCATTGCCTATATATTGGGGATGGATTTTCTAGTATTCTGTGTGAAAACACCAAAGGCCTTTGAAATAAATAATCATAAATCAAAAGACAATTTTGTTTCCTGTAGAAGCAAAATTAGTTGTGCTTCATATGTTTTGAGAATTTGAATGTTCACAAGGGATACTCTTAATTTGTAAATAGTTCATGCTTAAGAGAGCCATCATAGAGGAAATGTTACAGTGTTCAAGAATACTTAAATTCTTAGCAGGTGAGTGTGAAACAACTCTATGCATCTAAAATCACCCCCCATTAAACACTGTGGAGAAGCAACCTACCCAGGCACTCACACATCGACCACAAGTGGTGATTTTGAAATCCCCATAGAGATCCTTGATGGCTCCAGTTGTGAAGAAACCTTCAACCATCAGCAAAATGCCATACACGAAGAATGCAGCTGCAATGCCATAGACCACATATTTAAAGATGTCAATCCTGGGGGAGAAAATACAAAGTGACTTATTTCAATAACCTTTTGTTATGGACTTCCACAAACTGATCCTCAAGTTCTCAGCGTTCCCGTGGAATAAAAGTTATAGAATGTTGATGCTCATCATTGATGTTGGATTTCAAAGCATTCCTGTTTTGCTATTTATTTTTATTTATTTATTGCAACTAGGGTTCAAACTCAGGGTTTCATGCTTACAAAGCAGGCGCTCTATTGGTTCACAATAATGCAGTCTTGTGTAAGCAGTGAATCATAGTTAAAATGGAACTATGAAAACAGAATTATCACTTGATAAGGATGATCATTGTCATGCAATTATTCTAATTAGGACAAAAAACAAATGTGAAGGTATGTATATATATATAAAACACTTGAGTTTTTAAAACTTACACTGAAAGAGGAAGAAAACTATGATTATCAATGTATTAGTTTTGCATAAAATACGTATTTTTGGTATTACAGTCAATTTCGAGTGTTTTATTTCATACTTAACAGAAGACATGAATACTTTCTGATGATGATGAAGATAATGTCAATTATTAAAAGGATATGGTTTTACAGAAAAATAATAATTTTGACAATTAAGTCTTTTAGGAAGAATCACTAAGGGGTTTTATATGGAATTGGGTCTGAACCCAGTATAACGTAATTTCATAGCTTCATAGGAAGATACTCTTTCTATTCTGACAAATGATTGCCTGATGGAGAGAAAAATCCATGTGGCTAAGATAAAATATTCATACAGAAAATATAAATGTGTTCACACAGAGAACTGATACAAAGATGATAGAGACAGATAGTTGATAGATAGATAGATAGATACATAGATGATAGATATAGATAGGTAGATAGCAAACACTATCTTTAAAAGCTGTAGTATTTACAGCCATAGTTGTACCCTGGAGCTAAAGAATACTGTATTAGTATTTATTATTATACATTGTCATAAAATCAGTGACTATTTTACATTCAATGAGATCACAGTTATAAAAATGCTGATGAAATGCAGATGTAGAGATAACACTACCTAAGTGTTCTTAAGTTTTTATTTAACCTAAGAAACAGACCATCTCTAATAATTGAATATATTAACTATATGCATAACATTCTACCTTAAAAGTTACTACAGTTCCAATGCAGAAGTACCTATGGAATGAATTCAATGAATACGACAGAAGTTTACAATACTTTCAAAAAAACTACCAGTCTTCATTTGAATTTCAAATTTACTTTAGAATTAAGATTTTTAATAATTTTGCTTAACAAGATCTCTCTTTACATTTTGCAGCCTAATTAAAATACAAGTTTTATGAAGGCAAGTTTTTTAGTCATTTTTATAAACTGCTGATCTCCACCCAGAATGATATCTGACAGCACTTAATAAAAATTTGAGGAATCCAAAGAAAGTAATTACTCAATAAGGATATGTTTAATGCACAATCACAAAAGGGCTAATGAGTGATAGAAGTGTCTACATCTTTAAAAAGACTAGTATACATCTGTATGTTCTGCTGTATTTTATCCCAGCCCTGACATCTTCAGGTCAGAAACACATGTTTTTCATCAATAAAATTAACTCCCTATTCTCAGACATATTAATGAAGATAGTACCATGCTAAATACAGCTTATCTTTTTAAACTAATAGACAAAAAATTAATGAGCTTCATATCAAACTTTACAATAAGTAAAAGTGGATAAGGGTAACCTATTCATACTTAATGATAATTTTCTTGGAAAATAATTTAGATTTGAATCCTGTAAATATATTTAATTCTCTTTTCCATTATTTCTTTCCCAATGAAAATTAGTCACAAGCATTTTCTCTGTGGTTCATACTTACTGTACAAGTTATTTAAATAAATTTAGTATACCAGTGACATTTCTTTTCAACTGTATATTTTTTAGATCAGCTTTCAGATTCATCAGTGTAATTCGGATAGCTTTCAATTTTTAAAAATTGTATAGCTCAAATAATATCATTTGTTGCTCTATTTTTTCAGATAAAAATACCTTGATATCATAGATTCTTATATAAGTTTAATTAACTCCATGAAGTTATTACATTACATATAACTTAGAAATTTTCTGTTTAAGTCACCATATTATGAATACTTTAAACTTTACAGAAATTTTCCTTTACACATTTTCTCCAACATCTTTTAAAATTATGGTACATTTTATAATATGAAGATATATTTTTCCAATTCTCTACTTTCAAATAATTGTCTGCAATAATGTTGACATCCTAATCCCTAGAACCTGTCTGTTAACAAGTCATTTTATGTGGCAAAAAGGGCTTGGCATCTGTGATTAATGATCTTAAGATGGAAAAGCTAACCTAGTTTATCTAGATGGGTCCAATGTAATTGTAACAGTTCTTAAAAATCAAAAAGAAAGGTAAGTGGGGAAGGATGAAATTCAGAGATAAATTTGAAGGCACAACACTGCTACTGGCTTTGAAGATTGAAAGAGACAATGAGCCAAAGAATGCAGGTGGCTTTTGGAAGTTGGAATAAGCAAGCAAGGATATGATTCTCCCCTGGGGACTCCAGATGGAACATAGTTCTGCCAGCACCTTGATTTCATCCCATTTCAGTAAACCTAGTAAGATTTGTCTTAGATTTCTGACCTCTAAAAATCTAAGAAAATCAATTTTGTAGTGTTAAGCCACTAACCTGTGGTACTCTTAGCAATAGGAAGCCAGTGCCCCAATATTGAAAACAGCATGATGAAGAAGATTTTAGATATTTATTTACAATCTAGATTGTTTCTCTAGGATAAGTTTCTTGAAAACCCTAGTGTATATCATAATTGTTTCCAGAAACTTTGTACTAAAATAAAATTGCATCAGTAAAAGGCAAAAGAGCCTATTATCTATTTCTTAATACAAAGAATTATAATTTAATTATTCTAATGAAGCAATAGGTCAAAAATACTGGTATGATTTTAAATTGATTTTTTAGTTCACTAGTGAAGATGAATACACATTTATAAGTTATGAATCTTTTGTATTTTATTGGTATATCTGTTTTTATACTTTTCATTTTTGTTAGAATGCTTTGTTATTGACATCAGTTCTTCATTTATTAAAATCAGGAATTCTTGTCATGCAAGCTGTATTTTCTCAGTTTTTACGTACACTTCAATGTTTTTATAACATTTCAGTGAGCAAAACTACAATTTTTATTATATGACATACATAAGTCATTTACTTTATGATTTCTTAAATTGCTGATATGCTTCCCTCTGCACAAAAGTGAAATATTAATCTGTACTTTCTTCTAGCCTTCATAAATTAGCTTACATTTTGACTTAACTGACCTGAAAGTTTTTAGTAAATATATAAAGTAAGAAAATAATTTTAAGTGTACTTATAAGTACCTACATGTACTTGGGTCTCTTTTTACTCTTTTATTCTGTCTCACTTGATACTTTTTTCATGTCCACGTCAATATCCAATATATTAATTGTTGTGATTTTTCCACTCCCTATATTTGGTAAGCCAGATTCATCCTAGAACTTACTTAAGGTAGTAGCAGCATCATTCTCTGACTCATGTCAACTTACATGGATGTTAGATGGATGCTACTGACATACAGCACACATGTTTCACCTATCTTTCAGAAGTCAGTCTAAGATCCAGGAATATTTCTTGCTCTGTTATTTGTCCTTGAAGGCTAGCACAGTGATTGGTACAAAGTATAAACTAATATTTGTTTACTAAAATAATTCATCACAAGAGTAATCAAAGATTAGCCTGAAAAAGAAATCTACACATTTCAAAATAGGAATATTATAGAAGTATAATAGATTCTTGGAGTTGAAAGTATATTTACATACTTGATGTTCACAGTATGCAAATTAGTGAAATGAGAGCTATCATTAATAAAGCTGTTCTTAAATAAGCAAGACTAAGTGATTTACAGATTGTAATCATCTCAGAACTGGAAGTTCATTACAAGTCTTGTCTAAACACCTTCACCTACAAGAAAATCACTGCATTCCAAGGAAATCCATTTACTCTTTAGAAAACTTGGCTTTTGAAAAGTTCTTTATATTGAGCCAAAGTCTATTTTCCTACAAATTGGAATCATTTGGCCTTAGTCTCTTTTTACCATTAAAAGCAAGTTTCCTTCTATGTGACAACCACCAAAATATTTTTGAATGAAATTATGTATTTGTTTATTTCTAGACATTTTTCCCAAAATTGCTGTATTATTGTACTCTTGAATGCTAGAAAAGAGAACAGAAATTATCTTTGAGTGTAATACAGTTTGACTTTTACATACTTCCAATGAAATGCCTTCCCTAGTCAAATAATGAAGCAATCAAAGTACTATGGTAAGTAAGATATTTTTAAGGGCAGTCAAGTATTAGGGAGAATGATAATGGTCATTAAAATTGTGGTACATCTTTTAGAAAATCATAGCTATCCTAATTATAACCATCATTAGCATTACTAGCAACATGATTTACATCATAAGAGTAAATAGCTATATACGGGTTATTATGTGGCAGTGGTGTTATAATTGTTTTAAAATAAAAACTAGTTTTATCCTAATCAAATCTTTAGGAAGTAGGTAGCATTAGCTTGTCTCTTTAGTAAAAGGGAATGAGAGAGACAGTTTAAGTAACTTGTGTAAGTTATAATATCCAGAGCCAATATAGAATCCTCATGGTTTAGATATTTAGTTCGGTTGTTCTTGTTTTATATTAGTATTTATTTGTAGTTTTTTAAACACTTATTTGAAGGGTACTTGACTAGCTTAATTATTATCTAATGAAATGCACAGAGGTGAGGTGGAATCTTAGTGTGATTTTAATTTGCATTTCCTTTATCGCTAGAGATGGTGAGCATTTTTTCATGTGTTTTTTGGCCATTTGAATTTCTTCTTTTGAGAAAGTTCTGTTTAGTTCACTTGCCCATTTCTTTATTGGTTCATTAGTTTTGGGGGAATTTAGTTTTTTAAGTTCCCTATATATTCT